AGTCTTTTAATGAAAATGTAGGTTACGGGTTTCTCTGTTTAGAAATCTTAAAGACCTCGTTATCTTAGATTGGAAAGTCAGGATTCCGCTTTTTTTTCAATGTTAATTATATATGAACACACAAATCTGTTAGTATTTAAGCTCAGGTGTGTGATCTCAAGAAACCAAAGATGAACAAACTATACTGAATCCTGCACTAAACTGTGAATAGGATTTTAACTATAAACGAAAGGTCATATTATTGTGGTCTGTTTTATTGGTTACATTTGACGCCTAGTATCTAAAGAGTTTCCAATAACTGATTCCATTAGAACAAAGACTCGCAAACACATATCTTCCCTACATAAAATTCCGTAAGTCACTCTGGGGATCTCAGATACCCATCGACAATAAGAATAAAATGTGAGGATAATTTAGACTTGGCAAATTCTAAACCTACTAGATTAATTTAATTGTATTTAGCGTCATGTATAGACTTATCTCCAAGTGTATTTATATAAACATTATATATATCACTCCTGGTACATCAGCCAGACATGTAATAAACATAGTTTAAAAATAGACAAACAGTAACTGCAAAGTTTCAAGTATCAGAAAAACGGAGATCTATCCCGGGTTACGACGACCGAAATCAAGTATCATTCAGATGGGATAACATGTGATCGGTAGATTAAAAGAACCCAGAACAAAATATGAGAACTTAGAGCACTACTATTTATAAAACATAAAATCCCATTCATGAGAACAAATGTACTTACCGCCCCACAAAATGATTTCTGACAAACAGTGAGGTTAGGATGGTTAATAATAGGGAGTGGGTGATAGCTTGATGTCTGGTTTGATATTAAATCCATTTGACCTGGCATAAGCGCTGTGCGCTTTTGTACATTTTGTATATCATCATGAAAATCACATGTATATAGCGAACCAGGACAAGTTGCAGAGGTCGGGAGTTGACCGCGATAAATATCCGGTTTTATTCCATTCTGGTGAGGCATCGCAGATGACTCTAGTATCCGTGTATAGTCTTATAGGGACATCATAGACGAACCATCCTAACTACGCGCGTTAAAGATAAAATCGAAAGCGCAAGATTGATTGGAGATCTAATAATGAAACAATTAAACTACATTATTTCAACATAATTATTTTTTTGGATACTTGGTCAACTTTTGATAAAAAATTCAGTTAATTTTAAATTAGGACAGTGGTTATTGGTATTTTTCGAGAGAATTTATTCTGTATAAGTCTTAAGTTCGTCTACATGTTTTAACAATAAATTGAACCAACACAACTTTAACACTTGTCTCAATGGTTGTAGGAAGATTACACTAAACATTTTGTACTCGAATGGACTTTCTGTATTAATTTCTGAGGGATGTAACAAGTAGATAAACGGACTACCTGAGTAAACCTAAGCATACATAAACAAGACCTCTGTGACACTGAATGACGCTATTCTAAGACGCTTGCTTGTTCTTTGGCCCAGAAAAAAGCCTTCTTGGAGGAATTAGCACAGGTGTTGAAGAAGTGTGTATTCAAAGGACAATTACATCGTCCGTTACTGGGAGGTGAGCGTCACCGTCTTCATAAATACAGATCGGTCTTCGAAGTTGAAATATCCAGACAACTTACAAACTTTAGATTCCCTCGGTCAAAATCTACAGTGTAATGTCTTTGAGCTAGTAAGCTTACACTAGAGAAACCTTAATATCAGAGCGAAATCGCTCTAAACGAGATTCTTAAATGATCTTAACTGCCCTTGCGTACGTCCCTTTGCCTCAGAAGATAGTTAGCTGTGGTAAAGCTTTCCCATTCCACCCCTCTAATAAATGCATATGAGCGATAGCCTTTAGTCCCCTTTATGGGCCACGTAATAGAACCTGGTGAGTGTGTTGTAACAATGTATCATGTAGCGACAACCGGAATGTCCTATCAGGGAAATTCGGAAACTCCTTACTCAATGGTGACACTGTTTCTGAGATTGTAAAACTTGTCGGTTGGGACCTCCTTACCCATTATTCAATATTCTACATCACTAGTGAGTTGTGCCCCACTTTTGTTACTCAGTGAAGCACTAATGGATTCTGCAACACTTAATCTATGGCTTGTTGCAGCTGTTGGTTATTCAGTTGCCCTAAATATGCTTATTTGTACTATGTTTATATTGATGTTATTTTATGCAAGATCGATAAAATTTTTCTTGAATTTTCTAGTAGAATGGTGGCGAGTTGATTATGCTGTTGATTTTCTAGTTCCATTATCATAAATCATAATTCACTATTATGAAGGTTGGGTTAGCTTTCAATGCTATCTATCATTTCACTGGTACGTTTAGCTCTGATTCTGGTATTTATGTCGTTAATATGCTCCTTATGGGTTTCTATTTTTTTCAAAAATTATAGCAACCATATTAAACAGTTGTATAAAGCTCAATCATGTTCGTAGTGATTCTTAAAATACGAATTGCAAGATATTTATACAAGATATCCCTCCTTTAAACACATTTCACTGATCACAATGAACAGCCGTTGATACTGTGCCTAACAACTATGTTACTTAAAAGTTGAAGTGGCGGATTATCCCGGGAAATTAAATTTTTGTGGATGTAAAATTGTATTTCCGTGTACCCCTATCTACCTTACACTTAGATCAATTAAAGGCGTGGCTACCATCGTCCGAAGAAGTGCCCGCTGTCAGAAAGCTAAAAATTATTAACTACGAACAAGCAGCATTTCAAAGATTTCACAACCTAAGTTATGTCGTCTCACATATCCATATAGAACAGAGAAACGGAAAATATGTTTTAAGAGATATTTGATGGTACTGGATTTCCAATTGAAGGAGAGTTAACGAAAAACAGTAACGGAACTCAAGATTTTCTTTATTTTATTACGTACGTAACCGTCGCCTCACGGAAGATCAAACAAGGTGTATTTGCCTTTTACTGCTGACAGAATCAGCAGCCTCTATAGTAAGTGATTTTCTTTACAAAACATACGAAAACTAATCAGTTCATAGGGTGTCTGCATAATGTTGACTTAACACGTAGTTTCGAAAACTTCATAGCGCATGTTGTCCATTTGGTACGCTCAACACAGACATAGTGACGAAGACGGTTGGCTGCAAAGCCATTTATTGTGTACATGGAATTAGAAGGCCATATTTTGCCGGTTTACGTTAACCATAGGAATAGTCATCAGCTTTGAACGTATTAGTAAAGAACTGCAGTTTTACCAGTCAAAGACATTGGATGCGTCAATGAAGTCGATGTCAGTGGCCCATGAGATTATAGATTGAGAGACACCTGATCTCATCAAAAGGTTTTTAGCTCTTTTTCGTGATGGTACTTTGTCTGGTATATCGGTTGAAAGCTTAATTAGTGACAACAACAGTGAAATTAGCAATGCTTTAGTGCAAACTCCTCAGGCGACCACCATATTTTGTTCAGAGTTCACACTATATGGAACTTTATGCGGCAATTAAGGAAAACATTATTTAGTGATTATATCTTTAGAATGTGTCAACCAGTATGTTGTAACTGTTCCTGAAAGTAATGTTAAAGAGAGACATTAAACGATAAGCAACTTGTTTAATCCGTTAATATCATTTTTAGATCTCAATTTCGCATCAATGCTACTGAAGATGAAAATCCTACCTTCCGTTATCTTGAGAACAACTTACTGAAGACGAAATAAAAGTGGATTTTTGTGTTCAGATCACATTCTTGGCTACCTTTGCAGAACACTAAAAACTTCGTAAATGATACCAACCGGGTTGTGAGGATGTGTAGGTCAAGTCGGAAGTGTCCTGCTTTATGGCGTGCGTCTTACCATTTCATAGAATTAGCCACAGGCTGCACACAAGGTGCCACGAATCGGTCAAGCAGATTGATTATCCCTAACACTTAGTAGTGCACTCCTTGCTATTGATGTAAGATATTGATTAGTGGGTAGGGCTGTCCCAATCAACAGATTTTACAATCTCAGAAACAGTATCACCAGTGAGTAACGAGTTTTCGAATGTCCCTGATATCATATTCCGGTTATAATTCCGTATATATTTACTGAAAACTCCGCTCCCTTTGCGATTGCTATGTTATAAAATAAAGAAAAACTCGCATTTCTTTTGAGTCCAAGCAAATGGAACAGGATGTCACTGATCGAGATTATGCGTTATTACTAAGTGAAATAACGAATACTTATGTAGTAGAATTGATGAAAATACATATTCACTTTTTTATTGGTATTTTGAGTAGAGTCACTACCAAATACGTTCGGATATTTGTGGTATAATTCTATCTGCTCATATATACTTGAGAAAATTCTAGTGACATATCCCCGTGAGAGTACTCTCTCCGTTCACCGTTCTGTCGTAACATATAAAATACTTGCATCTACATACCGCAACCTGTTATATACTTGTATACACTCGCATGTTGATAGTTGAGCTTTTATAATCCTTATATCAGCAGCACTGATCTGCTTACCAATCCAATCCTTAATACTTTTTATCACGTCATTTATCGGTGATTGGAATTGTCACTTTGATATTTTTTCACACTGCAATCAACCTTCTGCCTGGTAATGAGATAGCTGATGATACCCAGAGTCCTTACTTCCCTGAGACACATGTACTCACTCAATGTGCAAGGTATACAAATCCACAAATTACTACCAAACTGACTAGAATCAGTGCTGTCAAGTGGTTATAATACCACCCACCAAAAATTAGCAAGTACCTGAAACTATACTAAAACAACAAGAGGCGACCTCAAAATAATCAATCACTTATATAAGCTCATGACGAAGACATTGAACAGGAACAGAAGCGAAATTTATTTCATTAGACGGATTTCCGAGAGATCAAACGAGTATCTGTGCCGCTACACGAATACGAACCTTGTCATGGAACTCAAATTCGGATATCAAAGAACTATATTTTCGCCCCTTCTGCTGATTAAGTTTTGAAAGTTGTTTAAGTTTGTTACATCGGGTCAAGGGCGTTAGGGCTCGATTTTCGTCTCGATCCCAATATTGACGTGATCTGAGATTTGTGTTATTACTAGTTGTTGTCTATTGCTTTTTGTAATAAATGTAAGTGCATTTGCTGGGTCGTCGGCCCGCATTTTCTTCCATCTTTTGTAGCACTCATGCTACTTTGTTTCATTAGTTCACACAGTACCTTCTGGCTAGACTCAAACCGCTACAATAGCCTGTGTTACAATGCCTTCAAGATCTTACACATATCCTCCATGTGTTCTCAGTTAGGTTGCTTTCTATTGTTTGTATTCGTAATATATACTACTCTGGACGCTTTTCTTGATTCATCGTAACCACTAACTAAATACAAGCATTTTAAAGACTATGGACCACATGGCGTCAGTTCTATCACTTTTTAAAACTTATGCCAACTGACAGGTCTTGGGAAGTACAGTTAGGTAGACAATAAATTTGATTGAGGTACCGAAAACCGTGAACGAACCGATGTCTACTGACATTTCGTGATATATTTACGTTATCATTTCAGTAGATATGCTTGCAACTGATTGAAATTTTTTGGTACTTAGTGTAGCATATAATGGCTTCCTATGAATCCCGTTATCATGCTTCATTTTACTCCTGTAAATCTGTGAAAAATTGTTTGCTGTAATCGTTGTACTTTTTAAAACAGGTGAAAGCACATCGCACACGTTCAAACATGTTAGTATTGTCTTTGCAGTCATTTGATAACTAGTTGATACTCATTCCTATTACTTCAACAAACTTTAGTTGTTTTCTGTTATTTTACCACAGTCATGCATGGGTTGAATTGCATGGATTTTTTGTTTTTAAATGTATGATGAATCAGGTTTTAATCATATGAATTTCAGCAATCTAGTCCCACTTTTGAGGCTTCTACATTCACTTTGCGTGAGCAGTTTCGTCCTCCATTTTAGGTCAGGAAGATAAGAATCCCATTTACAAAATTTGGCAAATTGTTCGGCGTGATGGAAGTCATAACTATACCCGCCTTGTCGGATAACTACATGTATGTAGTTATTGACAGAGCGTCAAGTGTAAGTTGGATGTGTTCTATCGTATAGTCCACTTAAAAACATTTTTGATTTAAGGATTCCCACCCCCAGAGATTAGGAATTTCAGTATTGTTGGGTCTCGATTTAGTGATTTCAACCAAACTATTCAGTCAACTGACCTATCCCATTCACGTTGATATCTGTACTTAGCTTTGGCCTGGTGCTCAAGTCGTTTGTGCATAGATGTAGATAGTTGCCTATTTTCAAATTCACTCTAGCGTTTACTATATACAGTAATTAATGTTTTAATGTCTCTGAAAATATTGGTTTTGCGCCACCTGTTCATCACTCAATATAGTCTGACTCAAAAAGTCGTCCTGTAATTCCGAATGACAATTGACTTTGATGATACAATACATAGAGGAGATGCAGTTCGATGGTAGCCAGTGGCCAGCGACCGGTTCATACACAATTTGTCCCCTCAGGATCCTGGAGCCCATGTGCACCATTGGTTTGAAATCAGGGTTTTCCAACTCCTCTAGGTGGATCCTTTATAGCCACCAACTCGGCTAAAGCTCCGGACATTCTTTTTTCGTCCTCTCAATATCGTAAACAACGCTGTGAGAAGGCAGTAAGTAGGACTTCCCATACAGTGTCTGTATACGCGCGGCCATGTGAGAGAGCGGGCTCTCCCCATCTTCTGCCGTACCAGGGCATTTGGGGGTTTGTTATGGGATATTAACTCAACGTTACCCTGCTTATCATTGTATGCAGTTATTTTGGTAACCATAGAAACTTTCCAACTAGGATTGTGAATATTGAATCGTTTCCTAATACTGTGGGGATAGTCTACACTCATTATGATTTCCTAATAATTCAGACGTGCTAAGACAACTTACAAGGTTTCTTTTATTCAAATTTAAACGTTTGTTGACCGAATTCCGTATCATAGTTCGAAAATATTCTGTAGTTTTAATTATTTAGCACAAATTATAAAAAAATATCTAACATTTTTTTGTGTATAATCTATTACAAGATTTGCGCAGTTGTGGATCCAGTTGAACCTGATAAGATTTTGAGTGCAGTCACGCAACGCGGTTTGCGACTTGAATCTATATTGACAACTCATCATCACTCGGACCACGCTGGAGGAAACCTTGACCTTTTAACTAAATGCAAGAAACAAGGCTTAGAGGGAGTAAAGGTGTATGGAGGAGATGATCGTATTGGTGGTTTGACTAATACTGTGTCTCACGGACATAAAATAAAGATTGGTACCAATCTCAATGTTTCTTGCTTGGCTACACCATGTCATACTACTGGTCATATATGTTATCTGGTTACCGAGGAAAATGGTACCAAAGAAGGGGCGGTATTTACTGGCGACACGTTGTTCCTTGGGGGTTGTGGAAGATTTTTTGAAGGGACTGCTGAACAAATGTAAGTCAATGTAACTTTTGGTCATCTACACCGCGAACTGGTTAAGGTTAAAACTACTAAGTTCCAATTCGGGCCAAATAGTAGGCGGGTAATGAGAAGTTGACAGCTCTCAAACTCAGTCTCGTGTGGGGTAACCCTTCCACGGTGTAAGAAACCAGGAAATGATAACCACCCTCACATTTCCAAGAGCACTCGTAACCACCGTATTTCCCTCGTATAAAGTTAACGATGGTCACTTGAGAAATTCCAAGTGAAATGAGGCTTTACTGTTTAATCTAGTATTTTGTTAGCTGAGATCAACTTGCTATGAACACTACCTTCAGGTTAACCAGATCCTCAAAATCAAGTATTCGTCAAGTCTCGAGCAGCTTAGATTTCATTTCAGAGCAAGCAGTAATCCCGATTTCAGGTGCGTAAACTTAGTGTATTCTGTCTTATAAGTCGCTGGTCTACTATACTTTTATTATCTCTTGTCGTTCTGTTCATAAAAGGCCTTTAGAACTGTCAGACTTGTTCACATCTTAGACATTCACTATTGCTCAAGACAGTCAGATTGGATTATGTCATCGTCTTCACCAAATGGAACTGTCATCTACGTACCCAAAGGCCACATGTAATTCTCCTAGTAGCTCAATTTCTAAAACGTCAAACTGTAAGCGCTTTCTGCCAAAGAGTGTCTATCAAAGCTGTGTATAATTGGGAAAAGCGGGCAACCCAACTTGTGGTTGGTAACTGCGATGACAGTCTCGCATAATATGTAAATCGACCACTAATGTTTGAGGAGAGCGTGTATAAGGTTTACGTATTTCTCTGTCGATTTGCGAAGTGGGACTCCGCCTTAAGATCAGTAAATGCGCCTTTGGTTGGAAGTCAGTAGATATGTCTATATTCCAGGATCACGACCAGGTTCGAAATCGTCTTGGTCTTCTCGAGATCGATCTTTACGAGTCGTAGTTAAGTAATTGTTGAGGCTAATATTCCATACAATATGTCAGTCAAACTAACTTTTGTAGTTATCATAAAAGGATTTCTATCCTCATCAATCAAGAAAACCAGTTATCGAGACTAACCAGGTGAGATTACACCAAGTTTCCAGACTCTATGTAATATCTGTTAATCCAATTACTAAAACCGGACTCTCATTCCTAAAGAGTAGTCCATCAGGACCTCTTCTAGATTCCCTATGACTTTTGTAAATTTGTCAAAAGTCATGTAGCTTATAATGTCATCTCATTGAGGTCATTTAGCAACCGTAGGAGACTTAAGGATAATTGAAGTTCAGTTAAGCTGTTCTTGGAGGTACTACACCCATCACTCTGATCTCGCGGATGTTGAGTAATTCATTACTCCATCTTTTCCCGAGATATTTTGATTAACTTCCAAACCCCGAATATCTATTCATTTGACAAGTCTGAAAAGTTGTACATCGTTACCTATTGCTACAAACATTTCCTCCTCTTTTGTTAGTGCTGTCAACACTACTGCACAGCGAAATCAGCAAAGTTACACATCATTGTCGTTCACACTAAATAACTTTGCATTCAAATCTTTTTATCGTCACCGTTTTTTCTCATTGCTCATATTTAAGAAAATTAAGCCCTAAAATATATACGTTTATACTGCTTGATATTAAGTTCTTTGAAAGGTAACTTCACTGAATTTTGTTGTTTCAGTGTTCTTTAGGGGATTATTGAGATAAACACATACTAGTTAAAAGTGGAGAAAGGTGATCCCATGGATTCATATGTACTGGGTTGGATTTTGAACCAACATTTTCAACAATTCGTAAGTTCCTAAAGATTACTACGGCTACGTTAGTGTTTCCGATCAAACGAGACAGCGTCTTTGTTTTTAAAGGCGCTACGGCGGAACAAGTAGTGTTAAAATTTATTTAAATAAAAAAGAGTTGAATAGTGACTAACAAAGGAATCCGGTAGGCACGTTTCTTCCTATATCGGATTCGTCGGTTGTTTGCGTCCACCCGTGTTTGTACTTACGCCGAGACTCGAACCCACTATCTTGTACTTCGAACGACCACTAAGCTATAAGGTCACAATAAGAGAGAACATATGTACTGTATTCTACTGCGAGCCATTGTCCAACTCTGCTTAAAATCCTTGTGACTTAGTAACACTATTAAGGCAATCCGCTTAAGATACTCATCCTAGAAGAAAATGATCATTTGCAGTCCCTAACACCAATAAGAAGATTCACGCAATCTTCCCAAATATAATTTGAGCAGAAAGCTATAACGGCAAAAAACACGTCTTAAAAATGTTTGTACTCGATAGTCCGCGAATACTGACCAGACTGGTCAGCACCAGTTCATTATTTGTTCTACCAGGGTAACCCACTTTTTGTCGCATTGAGAAATGTCTTTATATATATTTTGGATTTTAATGTAGGTTTAAGGCACTTATTGAGGTTCTTTCCAAGTTACCAACAACAACGAAAGTCTATTGTGGGCACGAATATACTGTGAAAAATCTAGAATTCGGCTTAACTGTTGAGCCAAAAAATGAGGCGCTTAAACATCGGTTAGAAGCCGTAAAACGTTTACGTGCGTCTAATCAAGCAAGTGTTCCCGGTACAATTGGAGAGGAATTAGCAACCAATCCTTTCATGCGTGTTTCTGAACCAGATGTGCTCGCACATGCGAAAACTACCGATCCCATCAAAGCCATGAAAACAATTCGCGAAGAAAAAGATAACTTTTAGATTTGAAACTGATCTGGCTTACGATACCAGTGATATATTGCAATTTCTCCGAAGTCAGTATGTCTTTTTATTCTTGGACGTTTATATGCTTATCTTTACCATGAACATCGATAAAACACTAAATTAATTAAATAAATAAAATTGGTACTAATAAGTTGTTAGTTCTGTGGTTATATTCAGGGATTTACGTTGTCCTGGTTTCGATGACTAAGGATATGTAGTGCTTCAGTCCTCTAATACACTTAAAACTGCTGATCTTATAATACTTTGTTTTGTTGTTGTCGCAGATTATGTTCATCTACGCGTAGGAACTAATAATTTTGTAATTACACCCTAGTAATTCACGTCGAAAATGTTTTTCGCCATTGCTTGTCATATCGTAAGTTGTTACTAGTTGTATAGGAATGAACTTCCGACTCATTGGTTGTATATCTAACTACTCTGTTTTGTATTAAGTCGATAAGAGCCACTGGTGATTTGTTTAGTCTCTTACCAGCCATATTATTTAACCATTGTTAAGGTCTCAGTAATTTAGCATAAAATCTAATCTTAGCTACACTTTTTTGAGTGTTTTTGTGAACTTGATCTATTACATAATGGCCTCCCGAACCTGCAGTTAGACTAACATGGTTATATAGATAAACTACTAGGGCATAGCCTGAAAATTTCGGTAGATAAATAGCGGGAGTACTTGTGGTTCATGATCAGTTGTCTTGTTTTGGATAGGTAAACTTAACGTTGGTGAGTTCGGAAAGCATGAAGATTTATTAAAGAAACACAGGTTACTCCACTGAATAATGAAAATCGAATACTCTTAGTTTGTTTTTCACCTGTTCGTAACAGATGGAGACTGCGGCAGCACCAAGATCTGGATCTATGGAAACGTGTTTATTTACGTATTTCTTGGTAGTCACGTGTTTCGTATTCACCGGCGTAGGCTTTTATTGTATAATTCTATTTGCTTACTATGATTACTTTTGCTCCTTTCTGAACAGATCTTTTCCTTAGCTGATTGATTATGATAGTGAGTTGTACCAAAGATGTTATATGCTTAGTGAATTTCCGTACACGCAGTACATTAGTTATCAAGTGTACTTGATTCAATATTTAAAGATAGTTTCATTGTACTGTTTCGTAGTTTCAGTATGATGTTGGGTATATTGACCCTAAATCAACATTGAAGTCAGTTTATTGTTGATCGGTGTCACCTTTGTGGAATGTGCAGATAGGATGTATACTCGTGGCCGCTTCGCTTGGTGTTAATGGGGGGTTGTGCGGCATATATACATGCATTATAGATGCAGATAGCCTAATAAATATTTATAAACAGTCCAATAGAAATGTTATCATATTAGATTATGTAGTGTAGGTAACAACAAGGAATTGTATGTGTGCAAATAAAAAGCCTTGTCAAATTAATAGGTTAGGTTAGCAGCGGATCATAATGTGGTTGGAGTCAGCTAACTAAAATGTTTCCGTTACAGCATTTCAGGGTTATAGAAGGGTCAAATCAAATGAAGTGATGTCATAAACAATTATGAATGAAATCATGAGAATATGAGAAATAATTAAAGACAGTGGGATATTTTCAAATACGAAGTATAATAATAATGATTCAAGTTCACGATAGAGATAAGGGTAAGACGTGCTGGAAGTTCTCACGGATGGCAAGAGCCTCTGGCGTTTTAGGAAGTCGGATACGAAGAAACCTGGGTAGATTTAGACAAACAGTATAAAAAACCCTAAAATCAACATATTGATCGGTGGAGTGAATGTATTCGGTTAGGTGTTCAGTGATGCGACTCCTAGTTGCTTTCCTCACGATTGTAGGACCACATTGGGACGTGTTCTCGTTACTTACGCCTGTTACTCCTCGCGAAGGAGCATAGGCCGCTCACCAGCATTCTCCATCCAACCCTGTCCTGGGCAATCCTTTCCAGTTCTTTCATATCCGCTTCTATTTCCCGACGTAGTGTGTTCTTTGGCCTTCCTCTTCCCTTCAGGATTCCAAGTTAGCGATTGCCTCGTAATGCAGTTTGATGATTCCCTCAATGTATGTCCTATCCATTTCCATCGTCTTTTCCTAATTTCCTCTTCAGCTGGAAGCTGGTTGGTTCTCTCCCACAAAAGGCTGTTGCTGATGTTATCCGGCCAATGGATGTTGAGTATTTTGCGTAGACAGCTATTGATAAATAGTTGTACCTTCTTGATGATGGTTGTTGTAGTTCTCCGATTTGAGAGCAGGCGCTTGCTGTGGCGTATGTATCTTCTTCCACGACAACAGATGAACTGGTAGGTGTACATACGGGTGATCAAACGAGGAAGCTTATATTTCACGGAAAACAGAAAAGAAGTTCCTACTAGTGAACGTTAGTCGCTGCTTTGCTGCTCAGAACGTTCTTTTTATCGCTGCCGCTAACCGATGTTTAATTTCACCAGAAGTGTAGTCACCTTTAAATTGCAGATTCATATAAAGGTATCTCTTTTACACGGAATTGCCGGATCCCTTGTTCTGACTTCCTTTTATAATCTATATAAAGCGACTTGCTTATCCGTTTTCAGCCAGTTTTTTTGGAGAATGCAACTTATTCATCAGTAGTTTTAGCATCCTTAATACTGTCGAAAAATTGTAAAGTATCATGAACAGAATACGTAAATCCTTGCCTTATAACTGCTCCCAATTTTTGAGCCAGCGATTGGGTGTTAGGCTAAATTAGATGTATCCAAAATAGGTAACAGTAATCCAGGTTTATTTACTTTCTGCAATTCACATAAGCGCGGGATGATCGAACCCATTGGATATATGTTATTATACAAGTCTGGGGTTATTATTTCCATATTCAAATTTTTGACATCAGTTAGCTGTTTTTCAATTTGTAAGTTTGGAAAGTTTAGTACCATTCTTTAGGATTAGAAGCATCTTGTTCAAGTAATCTTGAGGATCAGGAAGTACCATACCAGATCCTTTGTCAGGTCTACTTAGGACTCAGTACTTATTTCTTTTCAGGAGAATCTGCTGATCTACATAACTTGGTTAATAAGTCATTATGACCATTTTGTGTTAATGCATCCATAACAGCAATCAAGTACCATGGTTGTGAAGTTGAAATGAGATCATAAGTTTGATTTACTAAGTTTTCGAGTTGTATTTGCGTATGAAGTCTATTGGTTTTTACAGAATTTGAAGCCCACTGATAAGACCTGTATTTGGATTGACGAAATGTATTTTCCGGAATTTCTTTGAAAATTCTTATTTACATCATGTTTTAGGTATTTGAGTTTAGCAATGTGGGATTGCTCTTCGGTGACAGTACAAACATTCCTCAAATTGTTAACATTCATCTAACGATCCACATGATGAGTGACCCCTTAAATATATGTTGCGTTCTATTCCAACTAAACGGGATTTAATATCATCAATACGACTAAGTGTATGACGTTCGAGGGTTTTCGCTTTAGTCTCCTTATACAAACGGTGAGGAAACTCATTACATTAGGAAAAATTGATCTCACATTCCACTAACGCAAGTTTGACAGTGTGACGTATACGCTCACTGAATTCTTAGGATCCTTGCATTTCTTCAATAGACATGTAATTCCTAATAAAACATTAAAAACAAGGAGTTCAGAGAAGGGATCACTTTTTGTTATAACTTGTCAATTCAATGCTACTTGTTATATCTGCTCGTCGCTGATTGTTGTGTCGGAAACGCTTATCACTTATACCCGAAACGAGGGACTTCGGCAATTCCCACGACGCAAAAGTAAGAACACAAAGACTGGTATAAGTAAAGATTTATCAACCCCAAAACACGACGACGACCTAGTCGAAAGCACACTCATTTATATATTGATTGTACACCCATTTTGATTAATAATTAGGATGAAATCACATATGAAAAATAGTTATAACAAATCACATACTGAGCATAGTTCAGATCAATGGAATACAAGAATATCGTATGTTATACAGAATAAAATATCATACGAGAAAAAAAATTACTACACTGAATGATCATCATATTGAGTCAGAACGGAAGTAATGTTGAACAAAACTCAATAAGTAAATCTATCGAGTCTTGACTTTTATTTCCATCATATCAATTTTCAAATAATTCGTATTAAAAACATTTTAATTATCTTACTACTATCACATTTCAATCCGTTGCTAATTTTAATTTTACAAAGTTTTTTATTTGCACATACAATCCTTTATTGTTATCATTTACACTAGCCTAATATTATAACCACTTTATTGTATCATCATTTTTATTCACTGTCCATATATCCTTACGGAATTACCAACTATTAAACAAGCAAACCAGTACGGGATATAATTTAGGTATCCCTTATTAGTGACTAGGTATCAGGTGGCATGGAAATTTAACTATGCTATCCAGTGGATGCTGTAATCATTCTCTCGATTAGTGAAGTTTTGGTACAGGATTTAGATTAAGCATTTCAGGGGTTGATGTTCACTATTGCTTGATAATGAACAACAGCTAATGTAAAAACAACTTATGTTGCTAATATAGAAATCTCATCCTACCGGTCAGTCAGTAACGACGTAGAACTTCGTAACTACGTACATCAGTTCGAGTTGCTATACCGCATTACAACAGGGATGAAGTTGTCGATTCAAATCTCATAGTGATAGAGGTGGTAAGAGTATAAGCAGTAATCAGAAAGATTAAGGTTTGAAGATGTTATTTGAGGAGTATAGTGAAATAAATTTGGAAAGAGCAAAAAGGGACATGAAGAATTCAGATTAGAATTAGGGAGAACCAGGTGGTCTACACCTACCAACATGGTTCAGTCCACTTGTCAGTGACTTCATGGAGTTGTGCCATATTTTGGTGTGGTTGTACCTAGCTTTCTTCCAACCTACTCCAACATCGGGGCAGTCGGTGGTTGGGCATACGTACCATGTGTCCCAGCCATCTCAACTGATTAAGTTTCACTACTTCCTCAATTGATTTGCCATCCTTACCTAGTACCCGTTTCCTAACAAATGCATTACTTACTCAGTGGTCCCAGGATATACGAGCGATGTTTCGGAGACACCTGTGATCAAATACTAGTAACCTACCAATATCCTCTACTCTTACCGGCCAAATTTCACTGCCATGAAGTAGGATGGAACGAACAG